TGATATGCTTCCGAGGGACTAACTTCTGTCAATTATTTTGTTAAGTGCAATCAGAAAGCCTTATGGACTACTCGTGTGACTCAAACTGAAGGGGAGTGTACTTATGAGAAGACTGCAAGGCCATACTTCGTTAGTAGTTTAAATGAGGTTGGTTCAGTCATATTTAGATGGATAAATTCTCATCATGATCCAACGCATACCAAAATAGAATGTCTGGCCATACGCTTATTCAAATAGGAGCAATACTTTCAAGGCAAATCAGTGTGTCAATGTCAATCAGTTATTTTTTATTTTTTGACATTATTGAGAGATTGAGCTCATATATTCATCTGTGTCTAGTGTTTATTCAGGACAAGCTACATGTGAACCATACTGTTAGTTATCTAGTACCATCATTCCATAGACATAATCATTTGTCATAAATTGTGAATCGGTGTACTAAGATTAGATAATTGACAATATTATTACTTAGGACGTTTAATTTATACATCGTAATAATTTGTAAATGTTAAGTAGTAACCAGATATTAGTATATAATAATATTATCATTGAGATTTAAACGATATCCCAGTATATCAGCAGTTAAATTAGAGAACATCAGAATCGTACAGCACCTGAATTTGTCACCCTTTACTAAAACGCGACCAGACACTTTACGTTATTCATACTATGCATTCCTTCAATCGACATTGTTTTCAGACCTAATGCAGGCTGTGTCAGTGTCACAACATTTGATAGACATATAGACATGCTAGTTATGGCTTCCAAAACTTTATATAGCCGCCTTAACAATTTTTAAGCTCGCTTTTTTTTTGGAAAAGTAGAGGGGCTATTTATATTGTCAGTGTCGGCGTTCGCCGTTGACCGATGATGACAGTTACCCACAGAGTGCCATCCGCAACTTGCTATTCACTGGATCTATAATTTTGTCCATTTCTTTGGGTGTATTTTCGTTCAATACTTGCCACACACCTTGGACACACGACCTCTTCAGTAGTTACTCCACACTAACTATTCGACATCATTCCATTAATGACCTTGACGTTTAAGGTTAAAGTCCATTATATTGCTTTTGTATCATGCTATCTTTTGGCTGTTATTTTTGTTATCTTTGATGGATTGGTCCATTCTACTGAGACATAATTAATTTCAGGGATCCATTTAAAATAACTAGAGCAGACCTTGACATTTCACTCATGAATCGCACCTTGACTTTGAACGGTCAAAATTATTGAAATTTCTTATTCTTATATATTTATTTGAATATATAGGCATGTAACTTTGGTTTTTAATTGTAATTGATGTCTTCGATAGACTTGATCATCATAATTCTTCACAATAACTGTATAAAAATAGGTTCACCGACAGACCTTTGACTTCCACTTTCTATTAATATAGACATATTCTTGAATCAAAATTATTGATTAATGTTCTTTTGATTTGCCGTAGACCTGACTGCATACTATATAGCATATATAGTGAAGCATCATTCATATATAACGACGATGGACAATTCTTAAGGACGCAGGTACCTGCCGCTTGTTTACTCAAAACCATAATTTGCTAATTGGGGCTCTTTAATGACCCTTGACCTTGAAGGTTAAATACTGAATTTTATCACGCATTTGTGAGCATTAAATGCATAGGTCTAGAATATATAATTTATTGGATGTGATAGTGTAGTAGCTGTATTATATTATACATATTACTATATATAATTAATACATTTAGCAACAACAACAAGCACATCCAACAAGAATTGCGTCATTGTTTACTATATAAAAGAATTGCGTCATTGTTTCTATTTTAAGAAATTGGCGCGTCATGTGTCTGGCCGTATTATTTCTCAGAAATTAGCGAGGTATCTGTTGCTAATCTCTCTACACGAACATATGCGTCAATGTTGGTTATTTTTAGATCAATTGCGAGCGATATCACTAATGTATTGCTATTATATACGAAATTCGGCAGATCATTGTTTGTCATATTTTTAGAAATTGCCCGTCAATTAGAGTAAATAACCTAGTATCATTGTAGACAATTGCGGTATATGATTGTTCTATTATTTCTGAGATATCTGCGTATTTCATATTTTTAGAAAATGTGCCGATATTCGAGAGTTTCTATATGATGGTAGACTTATTATTATTAGCGAGTATCAGTCTTGCTCTGCTCATTGATTTAGGATACACTTGATTGCTGTCATCTGTTGCTATTTGTAAATGTTTAAGGAAAATTGCAACCGTATCGGAGAGCTCTCTTACATATTCTTGTCACAGATAAGTAGATGCGATATACATTGAGATATCATATATTTAGAACATTGAGAGAGTCGTCATTGTTTACTATTTAATAAAATTGCGTCCATAGTTTTCTATTTTGAATTGAGTCATTGTTACTATTTTAGAAATTGCGTCATTGTTTTCTATTTTTAGAAATTGCGTCATTGTTTCTATATTTAGAAAATTGCATCATTGTTGCTATTTTTAGAAATTGCGTCATTGTTTCTATTTTAGAAATTGCGTCATTGTTTTCTATTTTTAGAAATTGCGTCATTGTTTCTATAATTTTTAGAAATTGCGTCATTGTTTCTATTTCTAGAAATTTGCGTCATTGGTTTCCTATTCATAGAAATTGCGTCATTGATGCTATTTTTTAGAAAATTGCGTCATTGTTTCTAATATTTGCGTCATTGTTTCTATTTTTAGAAATTGCGTCATGTTGCTATTTTTAGAAATTGCGTAATGTTGCTATTTTTAGAAATTGTGTAATGTTTCTATTTATATATATATACAAAATATATAAACAAAACTAATGTGACAAGACAGACCAACTAAATTTATAAAAAGGAAACGTTAAGATATGTTCAAACCTTTCTATGTTTGCGTTTAGAAAAAGTAAAAAGTCGAGCGTTGCCCCCGCTCGGCGGTGGCTCTTGTTGTTTTTCATCTGCTGCGGCATTAAAGTTTTGGATTAGACCCGTTACGAAACCTAACCAGAATAGCCTAAGTTGATTTATTCTTATTTTTCACTTGCAAATACACTTGACCCAATCAATTCTTGTGCATTTAACGATAAAACAATTATTTTAATATCGTTCTATACCAATTAAAGTATCAAAAAATTAATACCGTCTTTAAAATTGCCTATTTAACTGTAAAACATTAATTTACGCCGACTACAGTCGGCCATGACATTTAGGTGTCACGCGAGACCTCGTATGACGTCATTCGCGGGAACCGATTTGAGAAGAGTCGTGTACTATATTTTGAACATTTTGTTGACATGATTTCGATATTTTTATTTATTCAAGATAATGTTTTTATTTATTTTCATTGATTTTTTAGTACTTAAATATGATTTTATTGAATATAAAAGTCAGTAAATCACCTTTTTCAATATCTTTAAAAAAGTAATTAAAAAAAATATTATAAGCACATGGGTTCGTAAAGGTCAATCTCGTAATCACGTGGTCAAACATTTTGGCAATATGGCGGCCAAGTGCTGAAATTTTTACCTGTCGGAAACCATTAGGTAGTTAATGTTCGTAATAAGATTTTTATTTGTCTATCCTTGGCTTATCAACATATTATATATAGTTTTATCAAGCTATGTTTCACTTTACTTCATGGCATGTTCGATGATTGAATACGAGCGTGTCAAATTCCTGGCACGATTATTGGTGGACTTTCTTTACGGGGTTGTCTTCAGCGTTCACGTCATGTCATAGTATATAAACGGGTACGCTGAAGACCTTAAGCTAAGACATGCACTGCTCAACAATGGTGTCTCGGAATGCTGCTCTTGGAAGCGTGTTATCAAGATACAGAAGTGTAAATAGTCTGGTTGATTATGGAGACAAACTCCCTGTTTTTGTTTGGGGTCCTTCTGGGCTCCTTGCCTCTGGCTCTTGTTACTGGATCGGGTGGGGGCTGCGTTCATTGAACGCCACCTTTCCTTGATTATCTTGTTTATCATATTTTCTACACGAAATTGTCCGAGAAATGTCTGAAAGGAACATTCATTTGTCCTTATAATAAACAAGTTTTTTTGTTATGAATGTCAAATGATATGTAATGTTTGGATAAAACAATTTGTTTAGCAATTTTTAAGTAGTCATTATTTTAGGAATTGTAGGTTTCTTTGTATTCTTTGTTACAAACAGACTTCCATTCCTGCTTGATATCTTCACGATAATGGTAACTGCTGTAAAAGAGCCAGTTGAAAGTAAGGCTGTCCATGTAGCTGCAGCATATGCAATCCTTATGAATGGTAGAAATGACAAACTTTCAGCATGGCACAGACTTACATCATTCATAGCTATAAAAGGACAATTGGATGACTCTGTAAGTATTGTTCTTTTAATGTTATATTTAATTTGTACATGTTTAATGCTTTCATTAAAAGAAGATCTCTTTGCTGTTGATCAAATGAGAAAAACTTTGCTACCATAATGACAGTAAAATGTCTCCTGTCAGAATGTCATGTATTATCAAAGCAATATGTTAAATTGTTCCTTGTTGTTCTAGTACATAGTAATAAAAATAAGTTATGTTTATGTTCTTTACTACCAGGCATTGAGAAGAAAAAACCATTTGGGTCTCACCTTATCGACAACAAGTAAACTTAAGCTGTTGGATGAGGCTGGAAACAGAATGGAAACAAGTGTAACTTCAACATTATAGAGGAATCCAATTGTCAAAGTCACTGGTGACAATCCCGACATATATGTGAGAACAGGTCATAAAAGTCTAGAAAGATCAAACCAAGACATTCATCTGTTTGCCTCAAATATCTTATTCAGCAGGGTTGGTATAATAGCATTTTTTTCAGAATGTTTCTTTCTGAATAACATTCTTTGTGAATCATATTATAGAAACTATTTATATACATAAATGTAATAAGTAACAAAATAACTTTTATAATATATACTGGTAAACACACTTATTTATTATAATATATATCTTCATTACAGATTGTTAAACCTGGGGTGAGTAACTCGAAGCTTTCGTTAGAGTTACGATCATCGTTAAGCCTTGGTTAAGCTCTAGTTAGTTATTTACCCTCTAACTCAAAGCGTTCGTTATACCAAAAATGCTAACGAAACTGTCGTAAAATAACGAACACCTCGGAGTACACGTTAGACCTTCGTTGAAGAAAAAGAAAAACAACGTGAGAAGCTATTTCAACAAATGAGTATGGATTATTTCTTTATTTTGTATTTCTTTCGTATTTTACAGGTAATAAGTACTTAGTATGTTCTAGTCACAAGATAGGATTTGCAGCGATGTGATTTTTTCATTCAAAACTTCAAACGCGCTTGGCGATGGTCAAGTCTTATATAAAAAATACCCATATTATTTATGTCCACATGGCATGATTCAAGCTTAAAATGCCATAAATAGATACATGTTACCGGGGACCTTACCGACTTTTCATACTGCATACGTTTTCAAAATATATACTGTTTAATTTTTATAATGAAAATAATAAAAATAATAATCGCGCAACTGTACTCAATAAACTTTAGTGAGCATTTCTTTCGTAAATGATTTTTAAAATATTTCCAAATATTTGTATAAAAATTATTTATTTATAAGTGGTGCGTTTTTCACTCCAGACAATGGCCGCCTTGCTGTTAGCAGTTGCATTAGAGCGCCGTAGGAGAGGGACTATTCCGCAGGTACGCGTTTTTCGAGATAGAGAAAATCCTCTCGACTTCATGGATGATGTTGATTTGATAAAAAAGTATAGAATGAACAGAAATGCCATTTACGATCTCTGCGAGGCGCTCAACAATGATCTAAGCCGTCCAACCAAAAGAAGCAATGCACTTCCGGTATCTCTCCAAGTACTGATGGCATTGAGATACTATGCAACTGGAAGTTTTCAATCTGTAGTTGGTGATGGTTATAGTGTAAGCAGTATGTCAGTATCGCGTTGTGTACGCGATGTTTCATATTTTATAACACGGCGTCTACAAAATGAAATCAAATTTCCGCTACTTGATGAACAGCAACGACTGGTAAAGCAAGGATTTTACGAGATTGCACAGTTTCCGCATGTTCTCGGTACAGTGGATGGGACATTAGTTCCAATAAGAGCTCCCCATGATGATGAACATATTTACGTTACGCGTAAGGGATTTCATGCGCTGAATATTCAGGGCATATCTGACTCAAACAATATGCTTTTAAATCTAGTGGTTCGTTGGCCTGGTTCAACCCATGATGCATTTATTCTCGCTAACAGTGGTATTTCAGAGGAGTTTGAATCTGGACGTATTCAACATGGATGGCTTCTAGGTGACAGCGCATATCCCCTGAAAACATGGCTGCTGACACCAATTTCTGCACCACGTGATGCAGCTGAACGGCGTTACAATTTTGCTCATAAGAGGACAAGATGCACGGTTGAAAGAACATTTGGTATCTGGAAAATGAGATTCCGATGTTTACATAAATCAGGAGGATATCTCAGTTTTTCACCAGCAAGATGTGTAAACGTAATAATGGCAACAGGGATATTGCACAATATTTGTACAAGAAAACACATACCTCTGCCTGACGATACAGACGAGGACGATAGCAACCAGCAAGCTGAGACTGAAAATGAAAATGAACAAGAACAGGAACAGGAAGTGTTTCAGGACGGACGGCAGGCACGGGCAGATTTGATCAACAGAGTATTTAGATAACTGACTGAAATTCATATATATTAGAATGCTTAATCAATAAACATAGGGAAAACAAAGCGACTTGTTGAGAGCTCTGTTATCTTATGGTTATTTGTGTTTTTGCCTCGCAAGTCAACACTATCTGTGTTGCATGTTTAACAATACATCACGTGTATTCTTTCATATATGAAATCAAAAGAATATAATACATGCACTTCATTGCTGTTTTAAACTTTTAATACTTAAAAAAAACGTAGAACTTATACTAGTTCTATATACAAAGTAAAATAAAAAGAGTTCATCATAAACACATACATGTACACTGAATTAGCGCAACACAGTATATTGATAAATGTTATAATTAAATTCAGCGTAGTATATTAAGAAAACCATTTTATATGTTCCATATACTTTGAATAAATGGCTTACCACTATTTTCATGGAATGAAAAAATATAAATCGAAACTTGCTTTGTATCTCAAAGTATTTTCATGTTAACAGCATACGAAAATTTTTAAATATTTTCACCAGTGTGAAACAGAAGTATTGTAATCGAAGTTTTACGGAAATTGAAACTCATTCCTTGACTAGCATCATTAAAATCATAACAAAAATTATCTTGCTACAACATATTTGCAAGCATGACCGTATATATTGTACTTAAAAATATAGAAATGATGTGTAAGATCGGATTATATTTCACCGAGTGAGCACCAAAAGGTATATTTCACGAGTGGCGCAGCCACGAGTGAAATTTTAACTTTTGATGTTCACGAGGTGAAATATATTTCGATCTCACACTAAACTAAACCAATTTTCTTTTTATTATATGCAAAGAAACGTTTAAGAAACATTTTAACCTAACACCAAATGAAAAATACGCCAAATATTAATACAATACATATATCCAACAACGTGCATGGATTTGTTTTCTTTAGATGCGTTTTATGCCGAACATATGATATACAAATCAAAAGATAAATAAAGACTGTCAACTGTTTCTTGTGTGTTTCACAGATATATGCTTGAACATTCGTACTTACAATAAAAAGATAAACAAAATCAAAAATACGAAAAAAAAGATTACAAAGATACGATTTCACACATATTTGAATATTCCATCTGAAATGTGTCTAAATGTGGTACATGTGTCGTGTGTAAGAAAGTAGATTTGAAGGAATTTGATCTATCATATTATGTCCAAATCGAATCTTGCCGCAGTATTTGTTAACAATATTAGCCCACTTCTGTTTAAAATCTTTAATGCTTATATTGATGCATTTTAAGTTTGGCATTTTTGAGATCATATACAGAAAATCATCTGGACCGACAGGTGCTGCGTACGTAATGATAAAAGTTTCGACCGAATTCAGTTTCTCAGCAAGAAAACACTGCTGTTCAATATTAAATGAGGCACCTTTAATTTCAATATATTTCAAATGTGACAGTACCGGAAGTAAAAGTTCAATAACATCCATAGGAGATCTTCCGAACACCGAAATAGTTAGCTGTCGCAATTGTCTAAGATTGGCAAAAATACATCTATTAATGTTGATTAGATCAACATCCAACCGCAAAATCACCAACTTCCTCATATGCGGTATTACGGTGGAGAAATCAGGAACTGACAAAGGCTTTACAAGTGTGACATTTCTAAAAAGTGCCCAAAACCAAGTTGCATTTGTAATTTTCTGCCATTTTTGACACACCGCTTGAATGGTACTTAAAATTTCGTCAACCGGAATCATGACAAAAATCATTCCTAAAACTTCTGGCGGCATCTCGGTTCTTACCTGTAAAATAATAGAAATATATCACTAAAATGTCAAACTGCTTCAATCTTAAAAGTTATAGTTGAAAATTTACCGTTTAGCAGTTAGTATATATGAGCCGTGTCACGACAAAACCAACATAATGGGTTTGCGACCAGCATGGATCCAGACAAGCCTGCGCATCGGCGCAGTCTGATCAGGATCCATACTGTTCGCTTTTAAACATTTTAACAAGTAGAGAAACTGATAGCGAACATAATGGATCCTGATCAGACTTTGCAGATGCGCAGACTGGTCTGGATCAATGCTGGTCGCAAACGCACCATGTTGGTTTTGTCGTGACGCGGCTCAATATATTATTTTTTACTATACAAAGCTATTGCATACTAGTATAGATTATACTTTTGACTGATAAATATTTCACAGACTAATTACAAGTTGCAATTGTTTTCTCAAATGACATAGTCACGAGTGAAAATATAAAAGTTGGTGTTCACGGGGGGAATATAATTTCATTTTGTAAAAAGAACAAATTTTCTGTTAATGATTTTAGATTTACATTTTACTGCTATTTGGCGACTTATAAATAAAAATTGGAATTAAATGCATATATTATTATTTTCCGCATATTCACTGTCAAAAAATATTTTTTCACTGCAGTAAACCATATCTTCCGTATTTTCACTGGGGTCTTGCCGGACTACTTTCTTCTAAATTCAGCCAATGCATAAAATTAAAGGGAAAGTTATAATGTCAATAATGAGAAAAATGTATATAATAAAAAGAAAATTTAAGATTCCGCCACTCATGAAATATTTATTTTCATACCACACGATGAAAATAAATCGTGTATTTATAGAAAAAACATAAATATCCTCTATATTTTTAACATTATGGTTGTGAGTATATCAGATAAAGATATTCGCATAACAGATATAAACGGTTGTTTCCATCACCATAATAAGTTCGACTACAGTGAAGTAGTTTGATAATTTTTTTTCACTGGCATTACATTATAACATAGCATGCAAGATGTCTTAATAATCTAATAATTACGCAAACAGTATGCACTCTTATAAGGGCTGTGGATACACAAATACACGTCATTTAATAATTGTCGTTTCCTTAAGGTCCTACCTGTCCGACATGTATTCACATCTATGTAAATACCATACCTAGATTTTAAGGATGTATGAATATAGTTCAAATTATATTATTCTAGGGTGTATGAATATAGTTCAAATTACATTATCTGTTTGCTCTAACTTACGTTTTGTTCTTATCCTTTCTTGTTTTTTGTTTATTCGAAAAAGAGTTATCATGTATATAATAAAACTAAGGTAGGGACAATGCTGAATACATTTTATACTTATTAAACAACAACAACAAAAGAAATATGACAGTTTGAATAATTGGTAAAGCTTGTGCATTGTGGGTCAAGTTTGTATCAGCGGTCACGGTCATAGGACTTAATAAATAATCAGTTTGAAAATGAATTTTAAGACGACGTTCTGTCAAAATAAAATACTGACTTTGACATTATTTTAGATCATAGAATGAAACACCATAATATGTGTATCCTACAGTATTCAAATATTGAACATTGGGTCAAATCAAAACTATTTTTTATAAAAACATTTCTTGTGTTCTTGGAATAACGAATACCTTTACAAAGACGTGTATGTTTGTGCTTCCGTGAATTGGTCAGCAAAATGGTTGTTTAGAGAACCGTCCCTCTGGCCAACTAATCTAGTCAAAAGTTCAATAACTTTTTCTTCTTTCTCAGCTCTCGACTTTTCTATATCAAGACGTGACTTTTCAATGTTTAACCTTTCTCCCTCAATGCGAAGTCTTTCTTTTTCAATGGATAAAATGTCGAAACTAGTTGACTTCCCGTCTTCTTTCGCTTTTTGTCAAGAGAAGGTGTTTTTTCTAAGCACCTCTTAAGAGATTGCACTTCAGGTTCTTGTTCGATTATAACCGTATCACCACTATCAGAATTCCCTGGCGTATCATAAGTCTCTAATGTGCTGACAGCAAAAACTGTTTCACTGTCGTCCGAGTTTGAATATTCTTTTGGTTCTTCATTGTATATGTCAGAAAAATTCTGACTCGGGCTCACTGAACTTGGACTGCCCAGCGTGTCCATCCCTTCAGGTAAACCAGAAACTACAACTTTTCCCAGAATAACTAATACCTTCTCTTCCAACAGACTTAAATCAGGCAAAGTGTCAACACCGCCACCAGTTTTGGTTTGGCTTTTTAACCAGGTTTTCCGAAGGAAAAATCTGGTTATTAGATTGAGGTATGTCGGCGGGCGGGCGGTCGGGCGGATGGGCGGGCGTAAACAATTTCTTCTGTGCGCAACTCCTCCTACATTTCTCAACGGATTTTGACCAAACTTTTACAGAAGCTTTGTCATCAAGTGCCCTGGTGCATATTGTCAGGGTTTTGTGATTGGATAACATTTGAGCTAATTATGGCCCTTTGTTTTTTCCCCTTATATAGAATATACATGTATAGTGAACAATTTCTTCTGTGCGCCACTTCTCCTAAATTTCTCAATGGATTTTGTTCAAAATTTTACAGAAGCTTTGTCATCAAGTGTCCTGATGCATACTGTTGGGGTTTTGTGATTGGATAATTTTTGATCTAATTATGGCCCTTTGTTTTTTTTTCCTTATACAGAATATATAGTGAACAATTTCTTCTGTGCGCAACTCCTCCTACATTTCTCAAAGGATTTTGTTCAAACTTTCACAGAAGCTTTGTCATCAAGTGTCCTGAGTCATACTGTTGGGGTTTTGTGATTGCATATTTTTTACCTAATTATGGCCCTTTGTTTTTTTCCTTATACAGAATATATAGTGAACAATTTCTTCTGTGCGCAACTCCTCCTACATTTCTCAAAGGATTTTGTTCAAACTTTCACAGAAGCTTTGTCATCAAGTGTCCTGAGGCATACTGTTGGGGTTTTGTGATTGGATAATTTTTTACCTAATTATGGCCCTTTGTTTTTTTCCTTATACAGAATATATAGTGAACAATTTCTTCTGTGCGCAACTCCTCCTACATTTCTCAAGGGATTTTGTTCAAACTTTCACAGAAGCTTTGTCATCTAGTGCCCTGATGCATATTGTTGGGTTTTTGTGATTGGATAATTTTGACCCAATTATGGCCCTTTGTTTTTTTCCCTTTTATATAGTATATAGTGAACAATTTCTTCTGTTGCCCTACTGCATCTACATTTCTCAAAGGATTTTGTTAAAATTTTACAGATTAGCTTTATCTTCGAGTGCCCTGCTGTGTATTGTCAGGGTTTTACGATTGGATAAGTTTTTACCTTTTACCTTATTATGGCCCTTTGTTTTTCCATAAAATTTAATTATTAGTGTAATATATCCTATTAATCACAACAAACTTTATTTAGTTATAAAACAGAAACTATCTAGGTTGTTGCATGCCTGCCAGCTCATCTGCCTGCTTTTGGGTCCTGTAGAGTCAAGGTCATTGTTGCTAAAAATAGAAAACCTGTTTCCAGTCAGGTCACTGTTAAAAAAAATAGAAAATAGGTTTCCGGTCAATAACTTGTTTGGAATAAGATATTTTTATGAAATTTATGGTAAAGCAAGTTTTTATGAAGACCTCACTGGGGATGGCTTTTTGGCCTCCTAGGGTCAAGGTTACAGTTACTAAAAATAGAAAATTCATTAATCATGATTTACATTGCACATAGTTACATTGTTTGTTGCTTGTATTTGTATTTCAACTACAACATATTTATCTACAATGGTGATAATTGAAAACCTGGTTTCATGGCATTGCCATGTTTCTTGTTTTCTTTTTAGATGCTTTGACCTTGACAGAGCTTGACCAATCTTTCCATTTTCGCCGTATTTCGTCAACTGTACGAGTAACCTGAGAGACAGCATTGATCTTGTTTGTCACTTCGCCCCACGACTTTTTCTTTTTCTCAAGAGATAGAATATCACTAAATTTACCAAGTAATGTAATTTTTCTCCGACCTACCTCATGACAAAGTATTTCAAGTTCATCTTTTTCAAAGCGTGGTCGCCTTTTACCTAAGCATTTTAAATATATTTAAAAAGTTAAACTCCCCTTTAAAATAAAAAATTTTAAATTTTGGGCTTTCAAAGAAGTAACATGAGTGTTTGGGGGTAGGGGGCAGGGGAAAATTTATGTTCTTTTTTTATTTTACCCAAAAGGGAAAATTTTTCTCTAAAATTTTTAGTCATGAAATCTTTGTATAATTTATAGCAAAGGACCCTAAATGGGGTTTCCCAAAACATAAAAATGGATGGGGTTCTTTGAAAACCATCACACATTTACACCCAAATCCCAAAACAAAATAAAGGGCCAAAGGGTCAGGGGTTTTTTCACCCTCCCTATCTCAGATGCAAAATGAGTCGAAGCATGAGGATTGTGTTGACATTCTGGATGGTTATGAGGATATTCTGACAGGGATATACAACAAAGCATTCAGTATGTCAAGTTGCAAGTGTTTTCTGCAATACTTTCAGTTCTTTGTTCAATTTCTTGCTCTTGCCTTTCATTTAATCATTCTGTGAAAATAATCTTCAGATCATGCTGATAATGCGTCTTATTCATTTACTAAAATCAGGTTTGCGAAATCATACGTATTAAACCTTATATTCATGCATTCTTTTTCATTTTCTTTAATTATCGTCATAATTACATCCTTTCAAATTTAATGTAGCCATTTAAGTTTTTTTTCCTCAACAATAAAATATATTCATGCAGTAGCACTTAAATTTAGGTACTTTAATAGACAAACAATTCTTATTACACAATGTCATATAATGTTACACACTTTTGAAAAGTAAAATTTAGTGTAATAATTATAGAACAGTGTTTTCTTATTACGAAAATTATATGAAAATTTCTTCGCAACGTAAAATTCCAATTTTCAATTACTGCTTATCTGGAGGCGTGCAGTTTTAAAATGCAAGAGGATATTGATAATGTTCATAAGGATTTGTTATGAACTTTGGTAAGTATTTAGTGATTGAATATTTCTGTTTTAAGTTTCTGTTTTGATAGTTTTACCGTTAACTGTTCCAGTTAAGCATGGATTTACAATCTTCAAAATGTTTTCTTTGATGTTTTCATTAGAACCTAGCATCAATAAAGTCAACAAATGAAGACCACAGATAATTATGGCAACAATTTTGCATGGATAGAAAGACAATGAATTTAAGAAGTATTACATTTAACAGTCCTTAAAATTGATATTAAAGATGTATTTGTAAGTCATTCAAGTTTTCAAGGAGTCTTCACTAGGCTCTATTTTCCATATACATAATAATTATTATGTGCATTTAATTATATCCTATAATTTGGGCTATAAGTGGACTTCTTCTCCTTCAGAGTACAATGTAAGTAATGAAGCTGATAGATTTGAATGTCTCATCTTTAAAGTCAAAACTTAAGGCCATTTGGCGTAAATTAAAAACAAAATATAATTTTGGGGTACGATTCACCTGTAGTTATTAAGAATTATTTTGTGACAATCTTTTCAAACATCTATTTTAGATTAGATAATTATGTATATTTTCCCTCAGTATATGTAGATAATGCATTTTTTGCTATAGCGTGCATGACTTTAATCATTTTTCGTCAAAAAGGATCAGATGAGCTGCTCCAGAAGTTGTTATTATTGGGGATCATCGCTTGGAAGAGGCAAAACTTTTAGGGGCTTTAGCTACTTCTCCAAAGAGGCGGTTTGATGACCTCCAACCATTTGTAGTGGAACGTTGGCGAATATATAGTTATAGGCTGTTAGATAAAATAAATGACATAAAGAAACGATTTCAAATAATTTATCAATTTTATAAGGAAAATCTTCACTTTTTAGCACATAAAGTAATACATTTCAAAAATAACTGTATTATTTAAACTGTAGACATAAAAATAGACAAGAAATTAGCATCATGTAATTTGATTTTGAGACATGGATTTCCAAACCAGCTTGCATACAACTGGATACACATAGATGAATTGTTATAATAATATTCTTTCAATACATTTTGAATGTTTACAGTTTTAATACCTTTGCTTTAGCATATGCAAAGATGTTGCCAATAATTTCAGGAAGAATATGGAGGGGACAGTATGAGTTATAACAAAGAAATGATTTTACACCACTTGACATGTTATATGGTCTCAATTTAAATAATGATTTTAACAGATTATTTAAGGAACTGGTAAAAATGCTTTAAGGTATTACCACCCTAATGGGCACTATAAGAAACTAAGAAATTGACATCATAGGTCAGATATATACATTAAAGTACACCTGTATGCAAACTTTAAACAAAGTTTACCGTACGGAAATCAAGTTATGGCCACTTTTCTGAACTCAAGCTAGGATGTTACGAGTACCCTTTTTTTAAAATGAGGAACCTTTAAATAATCATCTGCAATAACATTCTAATGAAAAATGTTTTCCAATTAATTTTTGGTAAGAAACAAATAGTACTATTCAGCTATCAATGTTTCTACTTAAAATTTATGAAATATGTATTAAAATGTTACCCTACCCCACCCATTTTTACCACTTGTCTGACCATTTTCCTTCTTAGGGAGCCTAATTTAAAACATCCTTAAAATTTACCCAAATGAGTGCCTGTTTTCAAAGTTTCCCTAAATTTTTATATAAAGTATATTTGTTGATCATGTAAAATATGAAATACTTTTACCATCTACTTTTGATTTTATTACACTATGAAAATATCAGGTACCATATTTATTACCAGAGTTAGCATAATTAAGCCAATAAATACCTACATAAATTAAAAAATCAAAATTAAACACTTTTTTCTTTCCAAGTGGGACATGAGAGATACATAAATAATGTTAAAAGAAAAAAAAAGAAAGAAAAAAAGTTGACCCTTCTGGGGATTGAACCCACGGCCCTCATTTTTAATGTAGTTAACAGTAGTTCTACCCTACCCTCATTTTCAATGTAGTTAACAGTAGTTCTAGCCTATTTGAATACTCTTCAAAGCGGTGGTAATGCATTAGGATGGTAATACCTTAAATAACTTTAGAAATATAAGTAACAATGGCTATACATATTTTCTTTAGGTATGTTGATATTTCTTATGCTTCGAGTCATTTTAAGTTTTTTTTAGCTGACAGGTGAGCTTTTGTGATCACTTTTCGTCCGGCGTCCGTCCGTAAACTTTTACTTTAAATGACATCTCCTCATAAACCACCAGGCCAATTTCATCAAACTTCACAGGAATGTTCCTTTGGTGGTCACCTTTGAAAATTGTTCAAAGAATTTAATTCCATGCAGAACTCTGGTTGCCATGGTAACCAAAAGAAAAAACTTTAAATATCTTCTTCTAAAAAATCCAAATGGCTAGAGCTTAGATATTTGGCATGAAGCATCTTCTAGTGAGTGTCTACAAAGTTTGTTCAAATAAAAGCTTTGAGGTCAAAATTGGCCCCGCCCCGGGGGACATTGATTTTCCTTATATCATACAGTGTATAGCAAAAACTTAAAAATCTTCTTTAAAAAAAACCCAAATAGCTAGAGTTTAGATATTAAGCATGAAACATTTGCTAGTAAGTGTCTACAAAGATTGTTCAAATAAAAGCCCTGGCTGCCCCAGGTGTGTCATTGTTTTTAACTATATGTGTAAAGAAAAAACTTGAAAAAATCTTCTTTTTAAAAACCCAACAAGCTTTTTAAAAACCCAACATGTTTAGCATGAAACATCTTCTGATGGGTGTCTACCAAGTTTGTTCAAATAAAAGCCCTGGGAATTAAACTGGCCTGCTCCGGGGGCCTATATACAGGTGAGCGACTTCAGGGCAATCATGGCCCTCTTGTTTACAGAAATGCTTCAAAGAGCTGTATAAGCCAGCAACTCTGATGCAGCCTGGAACACTTTTCAACTACAAGTCAAAACATCAGCGGTCTGATGTGAATGGGAAGGTTAAGGGATCATTTAAACCACTATAATCTGATTTCAATTGTTGGAAAGTCCATGGTACTGAACAATTTCCATGTACAGGCTCAATCAAACCGAGCCTGCAAAATTTTGCAATTTTGCCGTGTTGGGCTTTCTTTAGGGATTCTGTATTTATCTATTTGAATACTTTGGAATGGAGACAAAAGATTCCCAGCCGACAAAAAATGTTACAAGCTTCAAAAGAGATTTAGCGGAGAGAGAACAAATTATGTACCAGATGTTAGAATCATTAATGGATTATTATGGAGACATGGATAATGTTTATGAGACAAGCAATATAATAAGAAGCGTTTCTTTTGAAGACATTGTATACAATACGTCATGTAATCTTTGCCACTGGTTTCTGCATTTGATAAACATGTAAGATGTTGTCAGAGAGGGTGATGTGATAAGATTAATTCCAACTCTGAAATATTCGCTTCAGTTCTTCTTTTCTTACTCAAGGCTATTTTTTAAACAAGATTGCATTTGAGAAAAATGCTATGCCACCGCAATAAAACAACACTAAATAGTAGTGTAGGAACAGATTTTTTTGTTTCTATACAATTGAAAATTGTCATAATGCATATCTAATTCTTATTATCAGATTAGTGGTTAAATCTATTGTTAACTCAATAAAAGATCAGAGTAGGAATATATCAATGCACTTGAGTCTAGTGAATTTGGTGGTGAAGGTCATATTTCACACAGCCTAAAATTTCATTACTGCATCAAAGGACAACATGTAATACACTTTGTCAAAATCTAGGTCAGCTGATATCAAAGTTTACTTTTAATTTTGACACTAGAGGCAAAATTTGAACAACTTTGGTAGAGTACCTATATATGATATCATTTAACAAATATTAAAGCTCTAAGCCTTGTACCTTCAGACAATAAGATTTTTTTGAATTTTCACTATATGTATATATTGAAAATCAATGACCCCGAGGCGGGGGCAATTTTGACCCCAGGGCTATAATTTGAACAATCTGGGTAGAGGTCTATCAGACAATGCCTTATGCAAAATATCTAAGCTCTAGGCCATTTGGGTCTTTACAAGAAGGTATTTTAAATTT